TGGTGTGCAAGAGTCCTGTGCATCGTCTTTGTGTGAGTGTAAGGGGGGGGGGGTGGTCTTTTTGGCATGCGGAGAGCAGAGCAGCGGTAATTAATGACTAGCTGCTAAATGGTGCCATGTGATCTTACATGGTAATGAGAAGGCGTTTGAGCACGACAATCAGCTGAGTGATGAGAACTCGTGGTGCATGAGGGCCAATAAAAACAACTCAGACAAATATTTCTGGCTCTTTTTGAATTATTGCTCAAAAGCATCTCTTTGATGAAGCTAGTTGCATCATTTCTGATGGTTTTATCGTGGTTATGAGTTCATAAAAATATATAAAAAAAACTCCTCTCACAGCAGCATGATATTATGGTTTTCTAATGTTCGCTTGAATCTTAATCAAGAAACAGCATTTTGTGTGTTAAGGTTATTTATTGTTTGAGGCACATCATTGAATCTGACTTGCCCAGCWGGCAATAAGGCAAAAAAAGGAGATGTTTTATTGAAGCTGCCTGAACATCAGGGGAGGAAGCTTTCGCTGTCACTGTATTGTGCATTACAACGTCCTCGTCGTGATGTTGTTGTCAAGGCATCACTCAAGTTAAATGCTCGCGGAGCCCCAAAATGCAGCGACGAGCGTGCCTTTTCTGCTCGCTGCTCTCCACCGCGGAACATCACTCTGCAAATGTTATTACTGTCAGAGCCGTCAGACCGGGCTGCATGATGTGACAAAAGACACATCGACAAATCCAAGTTGGCAGCAGGAAACTGTCGTAATATTTCACAGCTCCAGACGACTTTTCATAAGTGACATTGCATACTTTCTATTTTTTTTAAACGGGCTCAAGTCATGGAGTTCTATAGAACAGCTAGAATGAGTTGTGTGATGTACTGTAGCAGCGGCAGTGATAACCAGAACAAGGCAAAAGTCTGGATTTAGCATTAGCACATCGGCAAAACAGTGATTAGCCAGGGCTGATTATGTCAAATTTGTAAAAACTATTAATGGTAATATTAACAAAAATATTTTAAATATATTAGAGTGTGAATGTGACTAAATGTGATTTGTCTCTGTGTCTTTGTTGTCCTCTCAAACCCAGCAGATCAAGGCAGATGACCACCTGTCCTGAGCCTGGTTCTGGTTCTGCTGCAGTTTAAAATCAAACTAAACTTATAAAGTCGATGTAATCAATGCTTATTATTGAATTGGTTAGCAGATATTAGCTTCCGTTGCACTCTGCTGAATCATGCTACAATTTATCACAAAATATTAAATATTACAAGCTGATGTTCCCTCTGGTTCATGTAATATTTACACAGAGTAAAATAATATCATATTTAACTATTTTTAGGTTTCTATTAGACAAACCTGACATGTTGGGAACATGGTTAGCCAATACCAGACAAGTTTTCTCCTAAATTATCACCAATTATTCAGTGAACATTTTCTAAATATTGAATGGTAAATATTTATTATTATTTAGGATTGATAAGAAATAATAAATATACTAGTTAAACATATGTTATTGACAAACTTCAGATTCTGGTTTAGATAATTACTTATATTTTTTTCTTGTATATATCTATCTGTTTTAAATGACTGTGAAATTAAATTAACAAAATTGTTATATTAATTTATTATAAAAATATTACAAAACATTTCTGGCACAGATCCAGTTGCTGTTAATCTAATAGTTGCTCTGATGACTGTGAGCTGATGCCCTGTATGGTTGCAGTTTTTGCCCTCCACGTTGTCACAGATGCTAACAGACAGTATGGGCAGGGCTCACTCTAGTGTTATTTAACTCTATGGCTCAAGCAGATCTCATCTCTGAGGCTGAGAAATGTCTGTTCTGTGCATAGATCAATCAATCAATCAATCAAACTTTATTTATAAAGTGCTATAACATCAGCCACTGCTGAAACAAAGTGCTGAACACATTAAATCAAAACTGAATACAAAAACACAATAAAATCACACAGTTAAATAAGTAAAATCAGCACCAATACAGTAAAAGTTGAGTAAAATCAAATCTCAGTTGGGTTGAAGGCCAGTGAGAAAAAATACGTTTTTAAACGAGTCTTAAAAATGGACAGTGAAGGGGCCTGTCGGGCAAGGGCAAGGCGTTCCACAGTTTAGGGGCACTAACAAAGAAAGCCCTATCTCCTCTGAGCTTCTGTTTAGACCTGGGAACGACCAGGAGGAACTGGTCAGCAGACCTGAGTGACCGAGGAGGGGTGTAACGGTGAAGAAGCTCTGTTAAATAAGATGGGGCAAGGTTGTTTAAAGCCTTAAAAACAAACAGWAGGATTTTAAAATGGACTCTAAAACAGACAGYCAGCCAGTGGAGGGAAGCCAGGACCGGGGTGATGTGCTCCCTTCTTCGTGTTCCTGTTAAAAGACGGGCAGCAGCGTTCTGCACCAGCTGCAGACGTGTGAGGGATGACTGGTTTACTCCAAAATAAAGTGAGTTACAGTAATCCAGTCGAGATGAAGTAAAAGCATGGACCACTGTTTCAAACTGTTGCCTTGAAAGAATAGATTTTAGCTTTGCTATTTTTCTCAGGTGATAAAAACTAGACTTAACTGTAACCCTTATTTGACTGTCAAGTTTAAAATCACTGTCCATCTTAAAACCAAGGTTTGTAGCTGTGGGCTTGACATACATAGCCAAGGGGTCTAAATCCACTGGAGGACTTGGGCATGCTCCACTAGGTCCAAAAACAAGTATCTCTGTCCTTTTTTTTCATTAAAATGCAAGAAATTTAGGGCCATCCAGGCTTTAAGATCATCGAGACATGCTAAAAGAGATTTAATGGACCAAGCCTCAACTTGCCTTAGAGGTACATAGATTTGGCAGTCGTCAGCGTAGCAATGAAAGGAGATGCTGTGTTTTCTAAAAATTGAAGCCAAAGGCAGGATGTACAATGAAAAAAGCAAAGGCCCCAAAATTGAACCCTGGGGAACCCCACATGACAGAGGGGCAGAAAAGGATTCAAATCCTGCAATTTTTACTGAAAATGTTCTGTTTGCCAGATAGGACCTTAACCACTCCAGGGCAGTGCCACTGATGCCTACCTGGTGCTGTAGACGCATCAACAAAATGCTGTGGTCTACTGTATCAAATGCAGCGGTTAAGTCCAGTAAAACAAGAATAACATGATCACAGAGTCACATGCCAGAAGAATATCATTATAAACTCTCAGCAGGGCTGTTTCAGTGCTATGAAGAGTTTTGAAACCTGACTGAAACACATCCATGATATTATGTTTGTCTAGGAAGGATTTTAGCTGCACGTAAATAATTTTTTCCAAAACTTTTGACAGTAAAGGTAGCTTGGAGATGGGCCTATAGTTCCCCAGTACAGTGGGATCAAGACCAGGTTTCTTTAACAGGGGGTGCACCACAGCATGATGCTCAAAAGGTTTGCATAAACACTACAGATAAATCTGTGCAAAARACTACAGCAAGTTAAGTTGACAATTAGTCGGATGACTCAAAAAATACTCATTTATTCAACGTTTTTATTTAAAAGAGAATAAGCCAGGAGGTCTGATGGAAGCAGATAAATCCTGCTTCATTCCTGATATCAGATGTTTTTTTTTCACTTCACTTCACTTTATTAATTTCATTTGTAACACAAAATATCAAAGTACAAAAAACGTGCAATCACAATAAAATCAAATAAAATGAAAGGCAGCAGAAGAAGAATAAATCTTARATCTGCCCCTTTTTTATACCCAAAATATGTTCAAAAGAAAAGTAAAATACAACAAAAATCAAAACAACTTAAAACACTTAAAAATGAACTAAAATCAACATTTAAGACACCAACTCAAACAACAATTAGCCTGAATTCACGTATACTTCTCCATATTTCTTCAGAATTAATTCCAGAGCCAGTAAAACAACAATTTCATCTTCTTTAAATGCACAGCACATTTTTTTTATTTATTTTTATTTTTTACTTTAAACTGGGATTTCATGGTTTTGTCTGAAGCTTGTTTAAAAAACAATCAAGAAAGAAGTTTTTCCAAATGTGAAAATGAGCTCAGCTGTCCTGGAGGAATAATGTTCTAATGGCATCACATTTAAATGTAAAACGAATTAATCAAACCTGCACATCATTACCACCAATTCATCATGCACTCTTTTTTTCTCTCCGTGTCCTCTGTTGTTACTTTCTGTTATGATTGAGTATCTTTCCTTTTTTTTTCTTTTACTCCTGTGTTTTTTCTCATTCCCATCCAAGGAGTTGGCCCTCACACTCAGGCATCAGCCTCTCAATCTTTCAATTTTCATCTGAGGCAAAAAGCACTTAAATTTATCGCTCCATCTGTTTATTGCGCTCCATCTCCGGTTCCTTCCCTTCTCCGTCCCCCTCGTGGCTCCCCTCCTCCTCCCCATCTGTTTATGTACGTTCTTAATCACCTTTCTGTCGAACTCCTCCCGCTGAAGCCCTCTTTGTCCTTCACCGCCGACATCCCGTGGCACCAAAAACTTTTAAAAAATAGGTCATGATTTAATTCTTTTGTTTTTCCCTGATTGTGATTTTGTGAAGCTGACCTTCGTGCACGACGTGTGGTCCCAGAACGCAGTTGTTTTGGTTGGCGGTGAATTGAAAACACTTGACTTGAGTGTCAGTAATAGTAGCCTCATTTTCTTCTAAACACAATTATCAGTAAATTGGACCAGAAGGATGCCAGAGTATTCATGTGTTTTACTCTGATTGACAGGTTTTTAGCTGTTATTGAGGACAAAGTTCAGTTTGTGCAAAAAAAAAGCTTTTCAGATTTTTGACTCGGGAGGTTTGGAGTAAAAGAGTTTATTGATTTCTTCAGACATCAGCGCTTATTTGTTCTCTTAACCATCCAGAAGTCATGGTGAGATGATTGAGCAAAAAACAACTGTGATTTTATTTCAAACACAACATAAGTGTTTCGTCAATGCAAGTGGCAACATTTTGACGTGATGTTATTTGTTTCTGATCCTCTTCCTGTTTCTCTGGTCACAGATCACATTCTTCATGCTGTTGTCTGCCGTCTGCGTGATGCTCAACCTGGCCGGCTCCATCCTCTCCTGCCAGAACGCTCAGCTCGTCAACTCTCTGGAGGACTGTCAGCTGGTGAGACCAACTGGACATTAACCCGATCGCATTGCTTCAAAAGAGAAACAAACATAAATTCATCTTAAATAATCACATTAAAGCACCCTGTGGAGTTATTTTTATCAGTCAAATTTAGTGTTTTGTCGTCGAGGGTAAATTTGTAAGATGCCATCTCCAGAGGATTTGTGTGAATCTCTGCTTTGGCTTTATTATACTGTATATAAAAAATCATTGTGGTTGTGGTTCCACAGTTCACAGCTGAAAAAAGTGAAGATATTCTGATCCTAACAGCAACTTTGTCATGGGAGCTGTGTGCAATTGACATTAATGTGACGCAGTCGCAGAGAAACTACACAAACCTGTGAGTAAAGGTGATAATTAAAGAGACGACTGGGTTCAATCTTAAGAAAATTGAAAGTGCAGAAAGAGAAAGAGGCCTTCAGCTTGCAAATAAGCATAAATCAGCAAGGGGGAGATCTATAAATTGCTGTAAAGGCTGAGGGAAAAAAGCACTGTTTTAAAATAGTGTAAGTGCCAGAAAAGGTGCACAGGTAAACGTATCCATACCATGTCCCACCTGGAGACTCTTGAAGCTGCACGGCTTGAGCAGCATTTTTTAATTTATTATTTATTTATTTGTTGTTGCTTTTTTTTTGGTGAGCAGCAAATTTAGTCCGTAAAGTAAAATTTAAAAAGTCTGGTGTTTGTTGTCCAAATTTACAGACAGGCAGAACTTCTGTTCAAATCAGACTGCCTGAACTGAGTCAACGCTGAAACCAAGCTGAACTGTTTGTTCGTGGCCGATGACTCATCATCATCATCATCATCATCATCATCATCATCATCATCATCATCATCATCATCATCATTTCCCTTTTTGTCAGAATCAAATTACAGCTAAAAACAGAATTTTTCAGTCCTTTGGTGTTAGAACTTAAAACGTGTTGAAAACATTTTATTAGAGTCTGAAAGATTCTGCGGGAGGTGGATCGGCAGATTGGGGCCTCATCCTTGGTAATGAGGGTGTCYCTTTGGTCAGTCTTGGTGAAGAAAGAGCTGAATTGAAAGGCAAKGCTCTGGATTTACTGGTCTGTCCACGTTCCAACTCTTACCTGGTCATGAGGCGTGGATCATGACTWAAAGAATGAGATCCRGGATACAKTCAGSCGAAYTGAGRTTCCTTCATAGAGTGGCCGGGRCTAACCCATCATCCYGGTGGAGCTCAGAGAGCCGCTGCTCCTCCCCATCAAAAGSAGTCAGCTGAGGAGGTTCATKTGATTAGAACGCCTCCCTTTAGAGGTGCTGCAGGCACGTCCCACTGGTAGGAGGCCCCTGTGCAGACCCAGGACTCATTGGAGGGATTATATCTCTTGTCTGGTATGGAAATGCCTCAGAGTCCTTACGAGCTGGGGAGAGGGATGCCTGGGTTTCTTTTCTAGACCTGTTGCCTCCAAGACCCAACTACGGATGACTGGCAGAAGATGAAGATGAAAATTTAAACCTTCCAGTCTTGTCTCTAATTATGTTTTATAAAAAGTGTTGTTTCCTACCAAATGGGTTTTTCCAACTATAACTGAAAACACGCAGTGGTGGGCAGCACTAATCTAAAAATTAGTTGCACWAGCCCTYAAACACTAACTCAAATATTTAGGTCCACGAATTCTAAAGCACTAATGCACTGAAAGTTTTAGCAAAAGCTAATTCTAAAGCTCTAAAATAACCCAGTCAACCCATGAACATTCTTCAACACACAACATGAGTCACATGTCGCTCTCTTAAAACTTATCACTGACATTTCACAGCTCTACCTGAGTTCATATATTGTCACCTGGTGGATAAGTAACATATATGAACAAAATGTGTGACAGCTTTCACCGTCAGCTGTTAATTTTAATGTTTATCAATAACATTTAAAGTTAGTGCTTCTAAATTTAGCCTATAAATTTAGCAAGTGATAATGCACTAATAAATTTTTAAATTAGCAAAAGCCCTAAAGCACTAATCAGGAAATTAGTTCCCCTATTAGTYCTTTAGGGGAACTGTGCCCAACACTGAAAACATGTCATTTATGAGGGGAAAGTTTTAAACGCGCATTCTCTTGTTTTGTTTCATGTGCAGAAACATGAAAGTTTTGTGTAAAGATGTGAATGAAACATTCTTTTCCTTAATCTTTATCAGGATAAACTACTCTTGCGTTTAAATAACAGTGTGAAAAAAATGGCTAAATGAGTTTTTAATGGACTTTTGATGTATTCATAAAACCCGTAAAGCTCTTTTTTTACAAGACAGTCCACACATAAAGTCCCTTTTATTCTAAACTTTTCTTAATGAGATGCTACGCTGTGTGTTTTATAAGCTGAATGGAAAGCAGCAGGGAGCCTCGCATCTTTGAAGAAGCCCCTCGTGGTTCATCAGCCACCCAACCCACTAACCCATCCATTTTCACATTTTAAGCAGCTTTTCTCCTGGCGCACCAACTTTGCTGCTGTGTGGACTGAAAAATTAATGTTCCTCATCTCTTCTCCCCAATGTAATTAACCTGGACTTGTTGAGTTCACGTTCTGCTTTCTCTCAATCTGGGACAGAGCAGAGGTACGTTCTGCCTCAGCCCCTCATCCTCACTGTCTTTTAGTCATGATGGAGCTAATCTAAGATTTCTCAGTCACACAACGATGTAGTTCATATCTTACATGTGTGACACTTACTGTAAATTATCAGTAACTTACAGTAAGTCAGGGTTAAAGCTTTCATCAGTGAAGAGCTGAAGTCTGATCTGTGCGCTTTGTGTGTCGTTGCGTCTGTGCGTGCACCCGCGTGCGTGTCTGTGTGTGTCTCTGGCATGCCTGCTTGAGTGCGGATGTGTGTTCCCCCCTCCTCACCCCCAGATCAAGTTCGACAGCGACGGGGTGTGCGTGTGCTGCGAGCTGCAGAAGCAGAGCTCCAGCTGCAGCAACCTGGGCGAGACGCTGAAACTGAACCCGCTGCGGGACTGCAACACCATACGGCTGCGCCTCAAGGTGGGTGTGTTTGTGCAGCGTGGATGTGGGAGCGTAATAAAGAAGCATTCTGGACGAGTGGGACTTGTGTTTAGATTTCATTTAGAGTAGATTAGCTGGTGAAGTAGTGTCTTTTATGTGACTGATTGGGCTGCAAACTGATTTAGATGCTGGATTTTTCTTGGCTAATCTAACCTGTAACTGCTGACTGTCATTGTGATCTAGCTATCTGATTTATTCTGATTTTAAGTCATGGGGAAATGCACCTTTTAGCTTTTCATACGTGGCAATTTGTGCAACTTTAGAAGCCATCATGGCATACTTTAAGAAGTTAGGGAAGTCAGACTAAATTGAAATGTTGGTACTCATTCTCAAAGTGGATTGCTAACCTTTTAAAACGACTCACAGCAGGTCATGTGACACTGTTTTATAATATTTTATACTATTATCAGTTCAATGACATTATATAAATTATTTTATCTTAATGATGTCCTGAAGCGTTATTTTCCACAGGTGAGAACAATATTTAGTTTTACAAAAAAAGAGCCGTAAGAATTATCGCGAGAAAATATTACAACCATTCATCAAATACATTATTCTGCAAACTGAAATTATTGAAATTCTATGATTTGGTTGATTATAATATTTTACTGTTTTTGTACAAGGCTTACAGAAACGTATTACCTTCCAACATTCAGGTAAACTTTGTTAAGAGAGACAGTTGTTATTATCTTAAGGGGATGGAAATGTTTGTGAAGCCATATTTTCATATTTGCTTGAGAGAAAGATGTACTTTAATCCAGGGTATAGTTTAATCCAGGGCATAGTTTAATCCAGGGTATAGTTTAATACAGGGTATAGGATTGTGGAATAGTCTGAAAGATGATCTTAAAAAAACCAGCTCTATGTTTATATTTAAGAGACAGATAGAAGCTAGTTTTCTGAAGGTATGAAAAGTAAAATGTGAAGCTATATGAATTGTTGTTTGAGTTGATGTTTTATGTTGTTTTTTTATTTAGTATTGTTTTGTAAATTATGTTTTGTTTGAATATATTGTGGGGATAAAAGGGGCAGACGTTATAAGATTCATTCTTCTTCTGCTACCTTTCATTTTTAATTTAATGTTTGATTTGTGTATTTTCTTTGTTTTTTATTGTATATAGTTATTTTTTAATGAAATGAATAAAAAWTTGAGTTGAATTTAATATTAACACATTAAAGGGGACACATCATGCAAAATCCACATTTTTAGCTGATAAATACATTTTGTCATACTTGGAATCTCTAGGAGAGCAGAAAAGTTGAATTTACTCTCTCCCGGTGCCACGTAGATATTTATACATTCTGTTTGGGTTATATTTTTCAACCTGTTCCGTTTTCTGTGTTTTCTACGATGTGTTATTACGTCAGTATTTGTGATGGAACTTCTAAAGCCCTTCTCCATGATCACAGTTCAACTCTATTCGCTTCGGGTCTGTTTGGTTTTGTTTGGTTCTGCTCAGGTGTGATAAAAAAAGCTGTTGTAATTTTACGGTTTGAACTATATTTTTATTTATTGTCACGATGCTGTTTATAAGTGCTTGTGTAACCCTGGCTGGCCAGTTTGTTTGAAATCTCCCAGGATTTCTGCTCGGCTTTGTCTCCTTCACCGCCCTCCAGGAAGTGATTGCAAGTTCTGCATTTTCCAAGATTGAAATAATAATAATAATAACTAGACATGGGTTTTTACGATGTAAAAAAAAAAGTGTGCATTGCCATGTAGCATGGCTTTGCCTGCAGCAGTGAACTTGCAGAATGAACTGTGACCAAATTCAAATGTGTTTTCTATACCAGCTTGTGCTTGTCAAGTCAGCAGGTGTTTGTAATGAGGGTAATTGTGTAACAATATGAAGTTTGTAGAGATTTTCTGTTAAAGTTGCTGTAGCTGGGTTTCGAACCCTGATCTCCCACATGAAAGCCCATGGCATCAACCATGGGACCATTGGAGCTGTGGTAGAGAACAAGGCCAGGGTTTGATTTGTATGTGTGCAGTAAGTGGCCACATTGCCAATGTAATGGTTGTCACTAATTTGAAAAATATTACAACAATAAAGCAATATTAAGACAATATTATAGTAAAACATCAAAATACAATCACATTAGTATTGTAAACACTGAACTACTGAGTTGAAATATTAAACTGTGGTGCAGTACCAAGTTGAGTACAGCATGGGCCAGTATTGGACCAATACAAGGCTCCATGGACTGCCATTATAATTTATTAAACATTAATATTTCATAAACTATAATTTTTACAGGCACCAAAAGGCATAGCCATCATTTGGCACAGGAGCTTTACAGATATAAATTACAATGGCAGCTCTAGGACAAAGTATGTAGGAGGAGAAGCATGCCAAAGTTGAGATGACTTGGATGGGAAAAGAATCATAATAGTGTGCATTGCATTGGCAGTGCACACTGGTAATAACTTGTACCTTGTCTCCACCTTGTTCAGTTACAATAAGGAGGAATTCAGACCAAAGCGTTACAATTCCACTTCATAAGATTTAAATGTGAAAAAGAAGGATTTAAAAGCATGATCCTTTAAAGTTTGCATTTAGTTTAACAGAAATGTCATTCATCCTTTTCCAGAAAGCAGATCTTTAGTTGGGTTTCTGAGCTGGCTGCAGTTTGTGGGTTCATGACCCCCGTATATTATCTGGYCTCCCGGTGTCCTCGGGAATGATTTAAAGTCTGCAGTGCTGTGTCGTTATTGGATAACGACAATCATATCCACTCGTTTTATGCCCCTGATTGATTATAAAACATTGATACCCAAATAAAAGACTTCTCTGAGTGAAGGATGCTGGTGAAAGGAGGAAAGATCAAGCACATCTGTCACTGAGCTCATAACTCATTAAAGAGACAGGGAATTGGGGCCATAAACCTTTATTAAGTACCAAAATAGTCAGATATATTGAGTTATGCCAAAGAGAAAGGCGTCTCTTCCAAGTCTCAGGAGTCCATTTCTGTATCAGACGGTGCTGCTGATGCAGCGCCTGCTTTCCCCTTTATTTGTAAAATACAAAATGAAAGTAACTAAGCTATCACAGAAGTAAACTTATTTAATATTCACTCCAGTCACTCTGTTCTTTGAGAGGTTTTCATCCTTTTAACGTATTTTAAAACGCTGTGGATGTGTGCCGTTCATTCTCCACTGACACATTTAACTTCCACCCAGGTGGGTTTTTTTCTTTCTCTCATTACGCTGCCCGAGGCTGTAAATCATTTGTGATGGGTGGTGTTGAGGTAATTTGAGATTTCCTGCGCAGAAGCGGAAATATAACGTAGCCCTGATTGACCCGGGGGCGAGGGATCATCCAGAGGTTAAACATTTGGTGAGCAGTCGTGTTTAAACAGAGGAAGTATAGTCATTTATAAAAACTTTTTGCCTGACAGGATTTTATTATATCATTATATACGTTATGGCCACAGGGGAACATAAAGATTTGTTTCCATCTGTGCATCAAAAATGAGCTCAGATGAAGCCATCATAAAAGTTCCTCCAGTCAACAGACAGCTGCAGCTCAGCTTTCCTGATAACACGAAAAGCTGAGTGTTTGTTGAAGGAATACACATCATCCTCCACCTTTCATGAGGTCAAAGAGCCGTGACTCATGAGATATTTTGCTAACAAACAGGCAAGATTTTACTACAAATAGTTAAAGGCAGTTGAAATACAGATCTTGCACGAAGGGCTATTCAACTAAATTGCTCCAGAGCCCACAGTTACTGCAGCTCCACAGCTCAATAAAGTCATTATTTTTTTTATTATTATTAATCTTTTTATTTTCGGTCGTTTTTAAAATTTCCATTTACAAAACAGCACAAAACACAGAACGATGAAAACAAAACAGACTAGAACTGTGAAGCAGTTATGACCGGGATCCAAGCCTGTGTATACATGTCCACCTTGGCCCATGTCGTCCTGAGCATATTGTTGACGTATGCATCACAGAGTTGTAACATGAGGAGTTCGCATAAGGTCTGCTTGAAACCCTAATATCTTAAATAGATTTAGGTCCCAGAAAAATATCACTACAGAATAATAAAGAAAATAATACACAATCTTTAAATTCCTGTCAATGTCAAAAAGACAAGGTATAGACCGAAAAAAGTGTAGTCAGAAGCCTAGGCTTTTTATGCCTTCACTTTTTATTCATACATTATCAAATTCAAATCAACATCTTTCTTACAGACTTTATAAAAGAAAATTTATGTAAATAAACCAAGTTGAGTCTGTTGCCTTTGAAATAGTGTATTTTGCTGCATTTAATTGCTTGCAATTTCAAGATGGATGGATGGATGAAGGGGTGGCTGTATGGATGGATGGATGGATGGATGGATGGATGGATGAAGGGACAGGTGGATGGATGGATTGATGGATGGATGGATGGATGGATGGATGGATGAACGGATGGACAGATGGATGGATAAAGGGACAGGCGGATGGATGGATGGATGGATGGATGGATGAAGGGATGGATGGATGGATGGATGGATGGATGGATGGATGAAGGGACAGGTGGATGGACGGACAGACGGATGGATGGACAGATGGATGATGGATGGATAGATGAAAGGACAGGCGGAAGGATGGATGATAGATGGATAGATGAATAGATGAAGGGACAGGTGGATGGATGGATGGATGTATGAATGTTGTATGGATGATGGATGGATGAAGGGACAGACAGGTGGATGTATGTATGTATGGGTGGATGGATAGATGAAGGGACAGGTGGATGGGTGGGTGGATGGATGGATGGATGGATGAATGTTGGGATGGATGGATGGATGGATGGATGGATGGAGGACAGATGGATGGATGGGTGGATGGATGGATGAAGGGATGGATGGAAGGATGGATGGATGGATGAAGGGACAGGCGGAAGGATGGATGGATGGATGGATGGATGGATGGATGGATGGATGGATGATGGATAGATGAAGGGACAGGTGGATGGATGGATGGATGGATG